AATCCACAAATTATGAATTACTGAAAAGTAGAAAAAAACAACAACTAAATAGCGGCGTATGATATGCCGCGGGTCAGCTCGTAGTAATAAACACACTATCACTTCATTTTTCGAGATCACAGAAACAACATTTTATTTGTTTATTTTCTATTTTAATATTTTTTTTTAGAAAATTATAAAAAATATAATCAAAAATGTATTTAAATATAAAGAAAGTTATAGAACCTTAAAGTTAACATGATGAAAAAAAAAATTAAAAAAATGAAAACGTGATTAGAATATAATCTAACCTATTTAAATAAATAAAAGTGTATGAAACCAACAAACAAGTATTGAAAATTCTTCTAATAATCAATAAGCAGTACAAATGGTGTAACCTAAAACAAAAATGTTTATGTAAATAAAATAAACGTGTCTACAAATACTGCATCCAACACCTGTTGTCAGGTGTATCGATTGACTCACTGGTTATGTTTTGAACGATTGTTAAGTTTAAAGCATGATATTTTAAAAGCCTTTGATGACTTGGAAAAACGTTAATAAATAAATAAAATACAAGAAGACTTTTGTTGTGTTTTTAGTGTTTGTGTGAATGTGTGAACGTGTATCTCAAAAAGGTGTAGAATTAAAAAATTAAAAATTAAAATAAAAAAATAAAAATTAAATTAAAATTAAAATAAATATAAATTTAAAAAAAAATTAAAATTTAAAATTAAATTTAAAAAAAATTACACTAATTAAAAAAATGCAAATAAAAAACTCATTAAAAACAAACAAACTATTTAAAATCCCCCTCCCCGGTGAGTAATATGTATCTAGGTCACTAACCCGATGTTCATTACGTAACTAGGTCACTAACCCGGTGGTCATTACGTAACTAGGTCATCGATGGTCATTACGTCACAAGGTCACCTCCTCACCCACCCCAGAGGTCACTAGGTCAGTAGGACACACACGGCTCCTGCGCCTGCTCCTGCTCCACCACGGCTCCTGAGCCTCCACCACCACCATACTACCCAAAGGGGACCTGATATTCTACTATCAAACAGGCTTAAGGTAGAGCCTAACTCTGCAATATAGACCCGTTTCCTCCTTTTGGCCGCGATACCTATATATATATATATATATATATATATATATATATATATATATATATATATATATAAATAAATAAATAAATATATATAGGCCTATATATATATATATATATATATATATATATATATATATATATATATATATATATATATATATATATATATATATGTTACGGTCAAAGCCCGAAGTGCGGCCAAAGCGCGGATTGGCCAGCCAATCCGCGCATTGGCCGGCTCTCTTGGCCAAAGCCCGAAAAACTTAGCACTAAGATCGTTTTTCGTACATTGGCCGGCCAATGCGCGCACTGGCCGGAACGCACTGGCCAAAGTCCGAAGCGCTTAAACTTGACAGCGTATTTTGTACATTGGCCGGCCAATGCGCGCACTGGCCGGGATGTCCTGGCCAATGTTCTATCTAGATTAAGTTGTGATCGCATTTTCATTATTCTGGGTGCGTTTTCATTGAGAGTAACGTATTGTTTAGCTATTGTTTGTATAGCATTCTATATGCAAGGCGACATGGATCAAAAGGGCCGTCAGACCATGAGACAGACATAGCAGATGGCTGTCAAAAGAGAAAAATGTAAATCCATGTTAGTTTCCATATATGGGCTCTCGATAAAATAGTTACTGAGGAAGATCTTGAGAACATTGAACAAGAAATGGAGGTTGCCATAAATGCAACGACATCATCAGCTAACACATCTACTGCCGTGGCGGAACGCCCAGACCAGTTGCGTGACAATAATGTGGCCAACAGATTCTGTATAGTTTGTGAAAAACATTGTAGTGCAGCTCATTCTTTCAGATCCTGTGGCAACGATGTCCATGCTATTTGTGGAATACCCAATGAAGCAGACGAAGGGTACGGAGGGAACATTACCTGCAGATTGTGTCACAACAAACAAGATATCATGGAACACAGATCAGCAGCTCATACTGGCTTGCAAACTCTAGGTGCTAAGATTCTTAAAACATCAAATACAAAATTTAAAGATAGTGAAGTGGGTGACAATGTACGCATCCGTTTTCCAGATGTTGACAGAGGTCACGGTGATCCCCGAAGCGTGATTGCAGTTGTCATGAGCGTGGAGGGCGGTTTCTACAAATTAGGAACGGAACATGGTGTTCTAAAACAACTGTATGCTAGATGTGAGTTTTCAATTCTTCACGAAAAACTGCTCTTATTGTCGTCAGTTGACACTGAGGAAAATTCACTACGAACCATCGCATCTTCACAATCATTGACTGGGGGCCAATGCTACACTCGCTGCAATTGCACAACTAAGTGCACAACAAATCGCTGCAAGTGTAAAATTAACAAGCTGCTATATAATTCTAAATGCCATAAAAGTTCAACTTGTTGTAACAAATGATGATATTGATAGATTGAGACTATAGTACAATAAAAAATTTGAATGTTTCTGTCATTTACTTTAATTAATAATCAATAAAGACTTAATTTCATGATCCTTACGGCATAAAAAAAAACCAAAATCTGCTCATGATCTTCTAATTCGGACTTTGGACGGTCGTCCCTAACCAGATGATCTTCTGATTAAGACTTTGGCCGGTCCACCATGGCCAGTCTGCGGATTGGCCGGCCAAAGGCCGAAATCAAGCAAGGCTTCGGACTTTGACCGACCTATGGGAGGCGATATTGGCCAATGCGCGGATTGGCCGGCCAATCCTAGCATTGGCCGACTTCGGGCTTTGACCGTAACATATATATATATATATATATATATATATATATATATATACATACACATATATATATATATATATATATATATATATATATACATATACATATACATATATATATATATATATATATATATATATATATATATATATATACATATTATACATATATCTACATATTGGTGTGGTTACTTTCCGTTTTATTAAAATTTTCCCAAAATTAATTTTTTAAAACAATACATGTGATAACTATAAAAATCATTTTTGTTTTATAAGTGGGGTCGGCGTGGTCGAGTCGGTAAAGCTACTGGTTGTTAAACCGAAAGTCTCAAGTTTGAACCCTCAGGCAGATGAGGCTCGTTAGCTGGGACAGCCACCTTCTAGGAGAGACAACTCCAAACTCAAACAACTACTGCTGGTAGTTTGTTCTTGGTTGGAAAAGGCTATGGAAGCAAATTCAAAAAGAGAAGCAAGCTGAAATCGGAGTCAATTGCCTCAATGGCGCATAACCAGTTGACACGCATACTTAATTGTGTTGGAGTCGTGGTAGAGTCGGTAAAGCTCATGGTTGTTATATTTGAAAAAAAATCTCTAGTTAGAACCCTCTGGCAGATAACACTCGATCCCTTCTAACACTAAAAATTAAGAGCGAAGAAGTTTTATAAGTCTACTTCACTCTTTTCATGTAATGTTTAATTACAAACCACTTGTGATTGCTATGTAATTAGGTATTTAAGCAATATTATTTGCAATAATTTTTCATTAATTTTTTTTTCACAGATGCTGCTATAAATGGCGTAACAACAGATGATTCTGGTGAAGCAAAATTGGTACGTTTTTGTATAAGATAATAAAATGTTGGTAATAATTAAAATATTTTTATATGTTGATGCATATTTGTTAACTCGCTGGCTATTGATTGTTTCAGCATCGTGCTGAGAAATCTGTTAATATTAGCACCAACAACGAATTTATTTTCTCTATAGTTTGCATGTTTACGTCATGGTGTCACCCCCTCCCCCCCTTGTCGGGATCGTAATTATGGACTTAAATACTTTTGAACTCTAATTAACCATTCATTGAGCTGGTAAAAAAAAAAATCTAGCCATTTTTTTTCTTGGTGTCACCCCCCTAAATGGTGTCACCCGGTGCGGTCCGCACCCCCCACCTCTCGACGCCTCTGCCTACACCAGCTATGTGATACCTACGTTAGAATATGGTGCTTTAGCATCTTCAGACTCAGAACAGGCGACAACAGAACAGCCTGAAACAACGTGTGTATAAAAAAAACTAAAAGTGGGGCCTGGTGAAACTTGTTCTTGTACAACCAGGAGCGATCTAAACACTGGTCACTATAAACCCCACCCCAACATAACTCAAGAACGCAGAAGAAAGAATTAATTAGTTTATACTACATTACTACTGATTACTCCTTAAAACTTATTAACCCTGTTTGGGTAACAATGTGTGTTCTTAGTTAGACTGATATTAGAATTGATTTAATTAGTGTTAGTAGCTAGTTATCCTTGTAGTGATAAGTAGTTAAACGTTTTCTTTTAACCATTTTAATATATTTACCTATGTACACATTTTTAATTCGTTTTCTTTTCCTTTTTTTTTCAATCCATTAACGTGGATGGGTGTTTGTTTTGTTTCTGTTTAGTTAATGACTAGTCCAGCTTTAATTGATTGTATGTAGTGTATTTAGTTATTTTTTGTGTTATATAATTGAATGGGTCCACACATAAGGGTAAATGAAAACTGCCAAGGCATTTATTAGAATAATGACATAAAAAAAAGAAAAATATAACACAAATAGAATAGAATAAAATCATAGTTTAATTAGCCTGGGGTAGAGTTAGATATAAAGGGTTATGGAAACCACCTACCTTGTGAGGGCTTACATAAATGAAGGCCGCTGATGAGCTTTATAGAATAACACAGTAAAAACCAAACATCAACTAATGCCCAATGTTCTAGAAAAGTGTCACAATGACACAGGTGCTGCACATTTTGACATTCAGAATACATTAGTCAGATCAGAAAACCACCAGTTAAGAAGCCACAAGCACCCAAAGCTACCATTCTATTGTAATAGAAGTTTAGAAAACAACAATAATACAAGAATCTACAGTCCTAGTTATAGACAATCCTGATTTTACAATATTAATCAACAAAACTGTCACAAAAAGCAAAAACAAGTTCAAAAGTTCAATAACTAGTTTTAAAACTGTTAATTGAATATTGTTAGGAGGTCCACATAGAAGTGCCCCATTTTGCCACAAGAAATTATGCGACGTCCATTGATGTGCATGCCTATAGAGAAAAAAATATATGCAAGATGTAAAACTAAACAATAGTGATATATATATACAATGGTGTTTAATCATTTAAAAAAACTCTTTAGATATAATATTACTCAAGTACCCACTTAACGTTGCTGTGATCCAGCCCTACACACTAGTGTGACGAGACATTTTATTTTTTATTTTTAAGGATTTATTCAGGACAACTAATCAAATAAACCTTATGTGCTCAAATTATCTAATTCTTTCAGCTGACAGCGAGCAAGTATTCACATGCATAGAGATATCTGACAGAGACTATTAAAAGCATAAGTCTGGCTTTTCTATATATGATTATCATAAAAGCAGATGGATCTCTTCGCTTTTCTTTTATTATCTTTTTACCTAAATTACTACATTTTAACTAAGGGAAACTAAGAGTACCATCTACTATCATTGTAATGATTAAATAATATTTACATTACAATTTTTTATTTGTACTATTGATATTTTTTGTGAGTGTGCAAATTTTGTTTACAAATTACATTGTGTAGTGGTCCCTTAAAGTTGTGAACTAAGCTTGTAAAAAAATGCTCACCCACAATGCCATGAGACAAGCTTTCATATGTGTAGCCATCTCCAAGTACCAAAATTGATTGTGTTGGCTCTCCTAAAACTTTTTTCCTCCGATAATCCATCACCACATACTCTATCCAAACCTGCAAACAGAAATTTAGATATATAGCATCTTAGAGTATATAAAATTGACAACACCTTTTCAGTGAAGACAACAACTGCCAGCTAAAAAACAGATCCTCCAGAGAAAATGGATTAGCCACACACTTAGGAAGCCTATATCCAGCACTACATAACAGGGAAAAAGAGACCAACCAAGGAAGATGTGGAGACATAAAAGAAGAGACCATGAAGATTTAAAAGTTACAATAGGTCAATGAAAAGAAGGAGTAAGATCAGAGGCGTAGCGAGGGGGGCGGGGCGGGGGGAGCGAACCGCACCGAGTGACACCATTTAGGGGGGGGGGGTGACACCAAGGTAAAAAATAGCAAAATATATAGAGAAAAACTTGAGGGGGGTGCAAATCAAAAGTTTGAGGGGGGGGGGGGGCTGCAAATCAAAAGTTTGAGAGGGGGGTGCAAATCGAAAGTTTGAGGGGGGGGGGGGGGTGCAAATCGAAAATTTGAAAGTTTGTCCTCGGGAACGGACGCTATGCCTCTGGGGTGGGGGGGGGGGGTGACACCATTAAGTGCCGCACCGGGTGACACCCGACTTCGCTACGCCACTGAGTAAGATATCTTCTTGAGGACATGTAGATAACTTTAAAACTTATATTAACCCTTACTTTGCTTCCTAGTGCAGCAACAGCAGCACCATTTCCAATGATCAAGTCTTGTATTTTAGTTTTGCTGTTTAACTTAATTATTGTGCTTGAAGGCTGAAAAAAATATTTGATGGCATAAGGTAAATATTAAAATTACAGGCCTACCAATGTAGAAAATATGTATGGGTCATTAAAAGTAAATGTGAAAATAAAAATTCCTTGTTGGTGCTAATATTAAACAGATTCCTCAGCACAATGCTGAAATAATCAATAACCAGAGAGTTAAAAAATATGCATCAACATGTAAAAATATTTTAATTATTACCAACATTTTATCATCTTTTACAAAAACTTACCAATTTTGCTTCATCAGAATCATCTGTTTTTAGACCATTTATAGCAGCATCTGTAAAAAGAAGTAATGAAAAATCATTGCAAATAATATTGCATAAATACCTAATTACATAAGAATCACAAGTGGTTTCTAATTAAACATTACATAAAAAGAGTGAGGTAGACTTATACAACTTCTTCTTCTTCTCTCTTAATTTTTAGTATTGGAAGGGATCGAGCCTTATCTGTCAGGGGGTTCTAACTCGAGACTTTATTTAAAAACCATGAGCTTCGCCGACTCGACCACGTCTCCAACACAATTAAGTACACGTGTCAACTGGTTATGCGCCATTGTGGCATTTGACTGTGATTTCAGCCTGCTTTTCTTTTTGGATTTGCTTCCATAGCCTTTTTCCAACCAAGAACAAACTACAAGCAGCAGTTGTTTGATTTTGGAGTTGTCTCTCCTAGAAGAGTAGCTGTTCCCAGCTAACAAGCCTCATCTGCCTGGGGGTTCAAACTCGAGACTTTTCGGTTTAGCAACCATGAGTTTTACCCACTCAACCACACTTATAAAACAAAAATGATTTTATAGCTATCACATAATGAAGTGTTTTAAAAATCAAATTTGAGTACCGTTACAGCTAGGTTCATGAAATTTCATATATAAGTATTATATATCAAAATCGTAGATCCGTATCAACTTTTGAGCGATTTCCGATAACCGGAAGTGGAACTTTTTCTACTTTGAATTTTTCAAAAGCCTATAACTTAAGTACTATTTCAGACAGATAAATGAAATTTCACATGTAAAATTCTCTGCCTTCAGTAAAATTTTGAGTAATTTCCATTGAACGGAAGTAGTAATTTTTGCTATTTCCCATTTCTCAAAAAACGCATGTGAATTATAAAGTACTAATAATATTCCGCACTATTATGCACATCTTTATTTGGCGTTCACGAGATTTTATTCTATTTTAAAAAGTTTAAGTATTTAAAATGGATTAAAATAGGGACTTGGATGAAATTTCATTTTTAAAAAAATAAAAAATGTAGTAGCACCAGTTTATAGAGCTCATTTAGACAAGAACAAAGATACTTTTATTTTAATTTTAGCTCAAACGGTTACGAAGTTATGAATTTTTAATGCATTTAATTTTCGGGTTTTTTTAATATGGGGTTTTCTCAATTTTTTGCTTCCCTACTTTTTTGGATGCGAACTAAAATCTCTGTAACTTTTTAAATAGCAGGTATTTTTTAATGAAAATTCACTAAGATCAAGCTTATGATATCAGTAAAAGAGTAAGATAAAAATAATTGAATTGGATGAGAATGATCATAAAAAATAATGTTAACAAAGAGGGTCACCCCCCTAAAAAATTTTAATAAGCGTCTTTGATAGGCTACACACAATCTGTTGCCAAATTTTTATTATAAGGAATATCTTACTGAAAATTGGCCTGGATAGTGCCAACACTGTATACATTAACAGAAAGTCAAAATATTTTACTTAGCTTATGTGGTTTTATTACAATGTTGGACAAAATAAAAAAGTCATTTTTATTCTGCGCAACTACTTTTTTTGCAAGAAAGAAGTACAATGTTGAGCTGATTTTAGATTACTTTGCTTATATGCAAGAAATATTGTAAACATGAAGGTTATTATATACTTTGATATTTCCTTTGTTCAAATTTGATTTTAAAAATATTTTATTTAATGAAAAAGGGGTTTAAACTCATATACCCCCCTTAATTTTAAACAATAAATTCAGCTATAGGCAACACATAATCTGTTGCCAAATTTTTATTATATGGAATATCTTAATGAAAATTGGCCTAATTGGTGCCAACATTGTATACATCCACACAAAGTAAAAATATTTCACTTAGCTTATGTGGTTTTGTTACAATGTTGGTCAAATTTAAAAAGTCATTTTTGTTCTGCGCAACTACTTTTTTGCAAGAAAGAAGTACAATGCTAAACTGATTTTAGATAACTAAAATTGTATCTAAATGTTGTCAATATGCATGATATTTCATCCATGTTATGTGTATGTTACATAGAATTGATATAATTTAATTTACAATTATTGTTGAACAAATAATTTAATAATTGAAATGATTTTATATTGGTGGAGTAATGATCACCATTTAATGTTAAAGGTAAGTTTTATAATTTAGAAACATCTGTCATATATTTAAGTGACATCTCATGCTGTGTGGATAACATGTTTAAGTCTGTTAGCCTGTATCACTTTTTTACTTTAAAAAATAACACCATCAATGATTTAAAAATGAAATCTGATTAAACATCTACTGAAGCTGTGTCTCCTCTGGCTGATAGCTTTTAGAACTGTAATAAAAACCAGCAACATCCATTCTTAAGTGGACCTATTTCTCCTTCATTGAAGTTGCTTATGAGTAGATCCACATCTTTTGATTCTCTATCCCCTTGTGAACTGGTACATTTTATCTAGGGCCAAGACTAGTAAAAAAGCAACTGAGATGAATACTACAGCAAAAATACAGTAGTATCATATGTACTTCAAATAGGCCTACAGATGAAGACAGAACATTGTACAAGGATTGTAGTAATTTAGTAATAAATCTAAAACGAACAAAGTCCTAGAGCTATAAAGAAAATATAGGACTCCTAAAATGTTTGAATATTAGTAATATTGGTAATAAAAATTCGCTTGAAAAGCAATCAAAAGGCTATATGTTTAATATAGAATTACCCTATTGGCCTATATTTTATAGACCAAATGATAGGCAAATGGAATTTTATATTAGATTCTAGATCTAGGCCTATATCAAGCTTTAAAATTTAAGAAAAATGTGGAAAGTACACAAGTTACTATAATGATAGCTAATATAAAATACAGAACTCATTCAAGAACAATATAGATCTATATCTAGGCCATACAATTGAAATGAAACAATAATTCAACTTGAAAAATTTCGCAGAAATCTATTTTTAGATCTAACTCAAAATTACAAAAAAAAATGAATCTAAATAGAAAATATGCGCACAAAGTCAACAAAAAATCATAGTTTTATCAATATAAAATATAATTCTATAATTTAAAATGATTTTAAAGTCAGATTCGTGTGGATGTTGCTGGATTTACAAATCAATTCAATTGAGAGCAATGGCGTCATTAACAACACAAGTACACTTCCGGTTTAAACCTCTGTCTTTCCCGGTAGTCGTAAAATGGCTTAAGCCTATACTTTCTAAACTATTTATAAAAAAATACTTTGCTATCGATTAACATTATGAAAATTTACACACATAAAGAAAAATGGTGATTATGGTCGGAGGGCTTTTTATTGGCCTTCTTTGTTAGTAAGTTTTTATGGTACAAAGAGTTTTACGTAGCCAAAGTTTGGCTCCAAAAATCCATTTTCACCTTCAACAAAATCTCAAAACAAAAATACCGTAACATATGAAATCCATTTGTTTTTCATAATCAGTCATCAAATTATTAGTAGCATCGGCGATTTATAATAAAAAAAAAAAAATTTCGATCATCACCCGCGACCGCACGGCTAAATCGACGAAACTCGGTATGGGCAGAAAACTCTCGTTTTTAGTGCCTCAAAATCTACGTCATCCAAGTCCCTAGATTAAAATCATGTCGGACACACATAGCGAAAAAACGCAACGTAAAAATTCCATGCGGTCTCATTCAGTAACCGCTTAACATAGAAAACAAAAAAAAGTATCATATCTATCCGCAACCATTCTACTTTAATAATGTGTGTGTCATTTTGTATTCATACGCATAGAACTTAAGCTATTCTTGTTATAGTGACTGGGGGGTCTTAACGTGTGTTCGAACACATGTAATACAGTTTTACATGTGTTCGGACACCTTTACCCGTCATCGGACATAGCACTTTTTGTTCATTTAGAATAATTTAAAGTCAATTTAATGAATAAAAACATATATTATATGCATTTATATTGTGTTATTGATTGTTTGTGAGGTAATTTTAATAGTATAAAACCTTTTTCCCACACTCCCAAAGTTCATCCCATTCAGCCATTGCGGCTCGCGCAGTACGCTGCTAAGCCAGCCAGGTCACATGATTCCCCCTCCTCTTTCGCATTCCACTGCCTTCTTGACCTTATTTTGACCCTTTCCCTTCAATAACCAGCCCCTTTTATGCTCTAAATTCTTATTTAATAATATTTTTGTGTTGCTGTCCGATCCCATGTAAGGCCAAATAAGTTAGCGAACACCCCTTTTTTATTGTTCAAGCACAAAAAAACCCATTAACCTTGACATTTACGATGTTCCATACATATATAGAAGCTATTTATAGTGTAACCTTTTAGCTAAGCATTGATTGGTTCAAGTTTTGCCCCTAAGTCCAACCCTAGGTCACTTCATCCGGCTGGTGTAAAAATAGAAATGTGCGTACCATGCAACGTTAAAAAATTTCTAAAAATAATTCTTGAGAAAGGAAACGGAAGTACTTGACACGGAAGTGTTCATAAATGAACAGTTTACGTGCAGGCGCCGTGGTTTCGCGTGAGACATGCTAATTAAAGTTTCTATGAGCCAAAAACCGACGAAGTGTTCGCTCCTACGTAATTTTTGGTGTGTGTCCGAAAAGTGTAAACTCCTCTATATCCCGAGTTGACATCCGCTGTTGTTTTATATAAGAATATTTGATATTCCATTATTATTACTTTTATTATTATTACTAAAATATTATACAAAAGATTTATTCTAACAGATTAACTTTTACCCCACAAACTTTGCATCTTGA